AATTTACAATATATAAAATTTATAACTATAAAACCCCATAATTTACTAACAATCTACTTATTTCCTTTGTGGTGATACAGCTGACATATAACATTATATNCACTGACTCGATGGACATGAGTTTGAGTAAACTCCGGGAGTTGGTGATGGACAGGGAGGCCTGGCGTGCTGTGACTCATGGGGTTGCAAAGAGTCGGACACGACTGAGCGACTGAACTGAACTGAACTGAATGGTGTGCCTTCAGCAGCTTGCCCTGTATCCTTGATGCCTATCTGCAGGGTCACTCTCAAGGGTCTTGAACTTCTTGAGGTCCTCCCCGATGAGGGTGATGATGTGATACATCGTGGCACCATGGGAGATCTTAGTTCTCTGACCAGGGATTGAACCCATGCCCTTGGCAGTGAAAGCGTGGAATCCTAACCACTGCACCACCAGAAGTCCTCTTAATGTCTATTCTTACTTCAGGGGAAAGCCCTTCCATAAAGGGCTATACAGTAAATATTTTAGTCTTTGAGGACCGAGAGATAAAATTAAGGCTATTAAGAAGATATTCATAAAATGAAGGGTGCTTCCAGCCTGCCTTATGCCTCATTTGCTTGGGATGGGCCACCCAGGGTTGGAAGACAGGATTCGTGTCCAGCTCTGGAGACATTCTCTGGATGAAGAGTGATGGGCCCGAGGCTTGGAGATTATCAACTACAATTTGGCACTCACCAAGGACGTTTGCCATCTTCCTCTGCAGAGATGGAATCCTGTGTGGCTGCAGTTGCTGATTCTCAAGATGCACTAAAGGCAGTTCAGTGTGGAAAGTGAGGCACTCTGCTCCAGAGAAACCAGTGGGACAGGTCTTTAGAAAGCTATATATTTTCAGAAACTGATTTCATGACCCCAATCATTATATCTCCTCACATCTAGTGAGTGACTGTTAGTTGCTCAGTTGTGTCCAACTTTTTGCAACCCCATGAACTGTAGCCCCCCAGGCTCCTCTGTCCATGGAATTTCCCAGGCAAGTATACTGGAGTGGGTTGCCATTTCCTCTTCCAGGGGATATTCCTGACCCAGCAATCGAACACAGGTCTCCTGCATTGCAGGTGGATTCTTGACTTATATCTAGAAAAGCACTAAATCCCTTCATGATGACATCAGCTCCTCATGACTAGCAGAAAACCTCATGCAAAATGAGTGCTTGATTGCACTGAACTCCCCCTTCACCAAAATCTTATATATTGACCTTCTTTGACGACTGCTCTTTGAAGCAGTCTCTCAGAGCTATCTAAGGTGCCGTCTCCTACGCTGCAGTCCTCATTCTATCCCAAATAAAACTTAACTTACAACTCTCACGCTGTGCATCTTTTTTAGTAGTCAAGATCCAGGTGAGTGGAGAGGGTGTGGGATGACCACCAAGGCCAGTTTCTCTCTGCTCCAGTGATGCCCAGTTTCCAGCCGACCTCTCTTTCCCAAGGCTAGGCTGTCTCATCTGGGTGAGCTGGCCGGAGTTGAAGCAACATGCTGAGTCACCAACCCCCAGAATCAGATGCACCAGTCAATGCCTAGTAACTGTCAACAGAAGACACGCCAACATGTAGGTGGCAGCCCATGTGATGATTACGCAGCCCGAGCTTGCTCTGCTCACCACGCGACAGGCCAGCTAACCAAGAGAGGTGTGGAGGCAGAGAACACGACTTCATTCAGAAAACCGGCTGACCCAGGAGACGGCAGGCTAAATGTCTCAAGGTAACCGTCTTGTTGGGGTCTGGATACCAGGTTCTTTTATAGAAACAGAGAGGGAGAGGAGGTGAGCAAATAAAGTAAAAAGACCATTTATCTTGCAAAGTAGAAGGGGGTGTGTTAATTTCTTCTTTTCTTGCAGCCATTCACAGGTGGGCAGGGTCAGATTATCTCTCTGCGAGCTAAACAAAGGCACTTTAGTTCAAGTCAAACAGAGGGGCAGGGTCCTCTGAGGCAGTCAGTCCATAATGTATGATTATAAGAACAAAAGCAAGAAAAGCTTTTGTTCCCACCAGTTCCCACCAGCTCACCCAGATGAGACAGCTGAGGCAGAACCAGTTCTTCCCTGCAACACAATCAGCTACGAAGCCTGGATAGTGGTGAGTGTTGGCTGCCAATTAGGAAGCCAGTTGGAAGCAAAGGGGGGAACAACCAGAGGAAGGTGCCCCATCTGGGACTCCAGGACACTAAAGGATGAGCACCCTGAGAGCAGCTCCTGTGGCTGTACAGAAATATAAGCCTGGCCTGACTCTGCCCACGGGCCACAATCTGTCAACCCTCAAGCTCAATGTGCGGTCACTGGAAGATTTATACGGATGAGAGAATTGGACAGCTGCGGCTGCGCGCGCAGGGGCGGGGGCTGCGCAGCACAAGAGCGGCGAGAAGGGTTACCCCAAGTCCAAGATCAGGAGCGGAGGCTGAGAGGAGCTACCCCAGTTCCAAGGTCAGGAGCAGCGGCTGAAAGGAGCTACCGCACGCCCAAGGTCAGGAGCGGCAGCCGTGAGGAGATACCCCATGTCCAAGGTCAGGAGCGGCAGCCGTGAGGAGATACCCCAGTTCCAAGGTCAGGAGCGGCAGCCGTGAGGAGATACCCCAGTTCCAAGGTCAGGAGCGGCAGCCGTGAGGAGATACCTCACATCCAAGGTCAGAGAAACCCAAGTAAGACTGTAGGCGCTGAGAGAGGGCATCAGAGGGCAGACAGACTGAAACCACAATCACAAACAGCTAGCCAATCTGATCACATGGACCACAGTCTTGTCTAACTCAATCAAACTAAGCCATGCCGTGTGGGGCCACCCAAGATGGATGGGTCATGGTGGAGAAGTCTGCCAGAATGTGGTCCACTAGAGAAGGGAATGGCAAATCACTTCAGCAGTCTTGCTTTGAGAACCCCATCAACAGTATGATAAGGCAAAAAAATAGGACACTGAAAGATGAACTCCCCAGGTCAGTAGGTGCCCAATATGCTACTGGAGATCAGTGGAGAAATAACTCCAGAAAGAATGAAGGGATGGAGCCAAAGCAAAAACAATACCCAGTTGTGGATGGGACTGGTGATAGAAGCAAGGTCCGATGCTGNATGTGAGAGTTGGATTATAAAGAAAGCTGAGCACAGAAGAATTGATGCTTTTGAACTGTGGTGTTGGAGAAGACTCTTGAGAGTCCTTGGACTGCAAGGAGATCCAACCAGTCCATCCTAAAGGAAATCAGTCCTGGGTGTTCATTGGAAGGACTGATGCTGAAGCTGAAACTCCAGTACTTTGGCCACCTGATGCGAAGAGCTGACTCATTTGAAAAGACCCTGATGCTGTGAAAGATTGAGGGCAAGAAGAGAAGGGGATGACAGAGGATGAGATGGTTGGATGGCATCACTGACTCAATGGACATGAGTTTGGGTAAACTCTGGGAGTTGGTGGTGGGCAGGGAGGCCTGGCATGCTGCGGTTCATGGGGTTGCAAAGAGTTGGACAAAACTGAGCAACTGAACTGAACTGAGAACTGGACGATAAAGAAGGCTGAGTGCCAAAGAACAGGTGCTTTCAAATTGTTGTGCTGCAGAAGACTCTTGAGAGTCCTTTGGACAGCAAGGAGATCAAACCAGTCAATCCTAAAGGAAACCAACCCTGAATATTCATTGGAAGAACTGAGGATGAATTGAAGCTCCAATACTTTGGCCACCTGATATGAAGGGCTGACTCTTTGGAAAAGGCCTTGATGCTGGGAAAGATTGAGGGCAAGAGGAGAAGGGGGTAACAGAGGATGAGATGGTTGGATGGCATTACTGGCTCAACAGACATGAGTTTGAGCAAACTCCAAGAGATAGTGAGGGACAGAGGAGCCTGGCATGCTGCAGTCCATGGAGTCACAAAGAGTCAGACACAACTTAGTGGCTGAATGACAACACAAACATGGAAGAGATGAGAGCTGACTTAAGTGTTTAAAAGCTGATGCCAGGGGATTTCCCTGGAGGGCCAGTGGTTCAGACTTCACGTTTGCACTGCAAGAGGCATGGGTTCAATCCCTGGTTGGGGAGCTAGGATCCCACATGCCCCATAGTGTGACCAAAAAACTAAACTATACTTTTTTTTTAAGGTTGATCCCAGCAGTCCCTGTCCTAGGTATATACCCAAAAAACTGTGACCTGGAATCCAAACACATGCACACACATGCTCGCAGCTCCACTCTGAATTCAGGGGACCTGGGTTTGATCCCTGGACAGGGAACTAGATCCCACATGCTGCAACTAAGAGTTCGCATGCCACAACTAAAAATCCCGAATGCCACAATGAAGATCAAAGATCCCACATGCTTCAACTAAGACCCAGCACAGCCAAATAAATAAATAAATAAATACTTAAAAACAAACCACACAAAAAAATTTTCATGCATGCACACAGGAGTGTGTACAGACACACAAGCACACTCAAGCATGGGCATGCACATGCACCTGCACACATCTGCATGCACACACTACACACATAGGTGCACACTCGCAACTACACACACATGCATCCACACACTCGTGCACACACATAATCACACCCACATACATGTACACACACAAACCACTCTTTGTGGGCATTTCCCATTGCTCATATTACCATTTCAAGCACTCTGAAGTATTTTCTTACTTACTACGCTGGTCTTTCTCACTCCGCTAGAATAGGAATGGTTTAAGACCATGGACATCTGTCTCTCTTGCTCACAGCTGTGCCCCCAAACCTAGAACAGTACCTAGGACACAGGAGGTGCTCAGCAAACACTTGGCAGCCACATGGTTGATGCCATCAGAAGGGAAAGCTGGGGCTTTTCGTCTCCCATCCCCACCTGAGTCACATCTCCAGATGCCTCTGGAAAGTGTGAGAGACTCTGAGTGAGAGTTAGATGGGGCCAGCCTGGGGGTGGGGGGATGACAGGAAGGAGAGGAGGGCGTGTGGGGAAAGGGGAGGGGCTGAGCCCCAGCTCTAAAGGCAGCCCCGGGACCCACGAGTGCCTGTCGGCAGTGTGAGAAGCCCAGGCGTGTTGGGCAATCGTGGTTTCCTCCCTCCTGGCCTGCAGGATTCAGCCGAGCCAGCCGGGCCCTGGGCATCTTGGGGCCTTGTCCACTCAGGCATGGAAGAGACAGTCGTGAAGCCCTCGGTGTTCGTGGTGGATGGACAGACAGACATCCCGTTCAGGAGGCTGGGGTGCAGCCGCAAGAGACAGCCCTGCAGTGCTACCCAGCTGGGACTGGGCCTCATGCTGCTGTTGGTGGTGGCTGGACTGGCTGTCCAGGGCTGGTTCCTGCTGCAGCTGCACTGGCGTCTAGAGGCGGTTGGCGCCCCCCTGCAGGTAAGCACCACTGGGGTAGGGGTGGGGATCTCCAAGCCAATGTCACTGAGCATCTGTACGTGTGTATGTGCAAGGACGGAGGACAGACTAAGAGCAGTCCCAGGCAAGCTAATTCACCTCTGGAACCTCAGTTTCCTCATCCATGAAATGGGCATGATAACAAAAGTCTCCATAGGGAATAAAACAGAATATTGTGTGTGTGGCACAGGCAAGCACTCAATAAATAGGAACTTACTTTTTTTTTTTAACTGAGCTATAATTGACGTAGAACATTGTGTAAGTTTAAGGTGTACAACATATTGATTTGTATATAAATGCTGCAATGGCATCACATAATTATAATTTCTTCTAGTGACGGGAACTAACAAAACCTAGGTGTTTAGGAGCGGGCTTCTCAGGTGGCTCAGTGGTAAAGAATCCACCTGCCAATGCAAGAGACACAGGACAAAAAACAAAAGAGACACAGGGCATTCGATTTTGATCCCTGGGTCGGGAGGATCCCTTGGAGGAGGCAATGGCAACCCATTCCAGTATTCTCGCCTGGAGAATTCCATGGACAGAGGAGCCTGGTGGGCTGCAGTCCACGGGGTTGCAGACTCAGACACAACTGAAGCGACTAAGCACACATACCTCTAGGAAGCTTTATGTTTTATAAAACAGTCGTGCTGTCTGTATCCCCCAGAACCGCCATCCTGACATGGCTAGTTGTTTGTTTGTTTTTAAAATATTTATCTGACTCCTCAGTTTGACCACTTTTTAAAATATTTTAATTAAAAAAAATTTTTTTGGCCATGTCGCACAGGAGTGGGGTCAGACCTTCACCCTTAAATTGGAAGTTCAGAGTCTTAACTGCTGGATCACCATGGAAGTCCCTGACCTAGCTAGTCATCATCAGCAGTGCCCTGATCACCACTACCGGGGCTGTCACTAAGCCAGTTTTCTCAGTCTGTAAGCATGTCTCTCTGCATCCATCTCCTACGGCCGTGGATGTCGCTGCCACACCTGTAGGTCTGTGTGTCCCATGCCATGCCCCCACGGTCTCAGCCTTTTTGTTTCCAGGTCCTTTTTCTCCTCGTGCCTGGACCTGGTGGCCACAGGCCCACTTGGACATGTGCTGCTATCCCACACACGTGTACCAACACAGATACTTCCTCACTCATCTACAGCCTGTGTATTGACATTGTGTCTGTTACTGGGTCTCTGTATGCACAGACCCGAGTGACTCCGTAACCCTGCACCCATGCATCTGCCTCCGTGTGTCTTGTCAGTGCGTCCAGGTCTGCGTCCGTGTGTCTGTATTCACGTGTTTGCATTTATGTACAAGTGTCCAGCCATTCAGGTGACTGTGTGTCTTCTGTGTGTGTGCGCTAAGTCACTTCAGTCCTGTCCAACTCTGCGACCCCACAGGCTGTAGCCTGCCAGGCTCCTCTGCCTGGGATTCTCCAGGCAAGAATACTGGTGTAGGTTGCCATTACCTTCTCCAATGGGTTGCCATTTCCTGATCCAGGGATTGAGCTCCCTAGCACCTATGTAATAAACACTTCTATAGCTCTTGCTCTGTGCCAGGCATTGTAATACACTTTTCACATGGGAATTCAAACCAGGCATTTTCCATGTGTCCATTTACAAGAGAGGAAAACTGAGGTCCTGGCTGGTTAAGAGCCTGCTGGGTGGCAGGGAGTAGGGGCAGGGCGTGCGCGCACGTGGCCTTGGAGTCAACGGAGGGTGATGTCTGTGGCCATGGTCTGCGTGTGCCTCCCGGCCACGAGTCTGAGTGATGCCAGGGCGTGGGCCCCAGAGATCCTCACCATGGGACTGCTCTGTACTTTTAGGACAAAGGTGCAGAACCCTGGGAGCAGATGCTGCAAGGTGAGTCAGGGTCCTGGTCCCCACCCCACCCCCAGGAGGGGACGGTATGGTTCCTATGCTGCCCCCACCCCCTCAGTCCATTGCCCAATGCAATTTGCACAACTGGCTCAAGCCCCACGGAAGCCCCTCCCCCAGGCCGGAGAAGCAGAAGTTTGGGTCATTCCGGAAAGGGTGAGGTTGACACCAGGAGGTGGACTAGATGACCCCTCTGGAGGCTGGCCCTTTACCCCCAACCACCACCTTCACCTCTGACCTCTGATTCTCTCTTTCCAGAGCGGAAGCCCCAGCAACACAGCCCAGCAGCACACCTCACAGGTGAGGGGGCCCTCAAGTCCTGGCAGGGGATAAGAGGGTTCAGTGGTCCTGGGGAGACCAGACAGACACCCCAATGGTGGCTGAGTACTCCTTTATTCATTAGTTCTTCAAAGCTGCCCAGAGCACAGACACAGCCTGAGTCCACGAATTTCTAATTTCATTTACTGAATAAAGCCTTGTAGGGTACTTAATCTCTGGCTCACACTGTGATGGACTTTCCACCTCTCAGCCAGGACTATTCATAGCTCCATTTTCCAGAGAGGGAGACTGAGGCATACAGAGGTTATAAGGCTGCTGGGCCATGATGTGTTTTGCTTAAATCCTTAGTTCTGCCACTTAACAATTTCTGACGGTTTGGGCGAATTGATTGCTCTGTGCCTTGGTTTCCCCACCTGCAAGAAGGGAGTGAAAGCGTTAAGATGGAGGATAAGCAAGTTATTTTGCCACTTACTGTGCTTTAGTTCCCCTACCTGTAAAGTGAGGATAAAGTGAGTGCATACATTTAAAGCCTAGCCCAGAGCAAGGTGGCGCTCAGAGAGGGCTAGCGACTGGCCCCGGGTCCCACTGAAAGCAGACGTGCGCTCACAAGCCCTGCTCTGCCTCCCTCCACAGGGGCCAACTTCAGCCTGACTGGCAGCAGTGACCCGCTGCTGTGGGAGACGAAACTGGGCCCGACCTTCTTGAGGGGCCTCTGCTACCGGGATGGGGCCCTGGTGGTTACCCAGGCCGGCTACTACTACATCTACTCCAAGGTGCAGCTGGGTGGTAAGCGCTGCTCCCAGGAATCGTCCAGCTGCCTGCCCATCACCCATGGGCTCTACATGCGCACCGCCAGCTACCCCGAGGAGCTGGAGCTGCTGGTCAGCCGGCAGTCGCTGTTGAGGCAAGCAGGCAGCTCCCAGGTGTGGTGGGACAGCAGCTTCCTGGGCGGAGTGGTCCACCTGGACGTGGGGGAAGAGGTGGTGGTACGCATGCCGGGCGAGCACGTGGTCCAGCTCCTCGACGGCACACGCTCCTACTTCGGGGCCTTCATGGTGTGAAGGACGTGGTCGGGGCTAATCTAAGGTGTGTCTGCGATAACTGAGAGACCTCAGAGGATGCCTCAGGACACAGAAAAACACGAGCGGAAGTTTTTAGAGCGGGCCTGGGGGACACCCAAACGTGACAGGTGGAGAGCTCAGTGGGGACCAGTGATGCCGAGAACCCAGCTGCCCCGAGAAACAGCAGGCACCTCCGAAGGACCAAAGGAGACTGCAGGCCCTGCCATGGACAACCCCGAGGACGTCAACCCGGAGACCGGGGGTCTGTTAGTCCCCAGGCAGGGGGTAAAGCCGATCTTGATATTCAGGGGTGGCTATTTATACTTCTGATTCAGATCAAAGGGACATGGTGATGGTGGTGGTGGTTGGCTAAGACAGGAAATTGTATTTATACTTTTGATTCAGATTAAAGTGGGACATGGGGTCCAGGGAGTTGACTGAGAACAGAAAATTTCTTAACACCCTCTACCCTCTCACAAGTGTGGGCGAGTCTGGGGGGGATTGCGAGGATTTATCATCAAGACTCACCCACCTTGGAGAGCCCAGCCCAGCCCAGCCCTACCCATGGTCATAGTCATGACCCAAGTTCCACCCACGGGGCTTGCAGCCACACCACAGCCTGGTCACAAAGCTACACTCAGAGAAACAGGTGTAGGGACGTGCTGGGAGGTGTTCAGCAACCAGCTGTCCCAGGAGGGGATGCCCATTTCCATGATGCAGATATTCCCTCTGCGGTTGGTTTCTGGCTCCCAGTGTATATCTCCCACAGGCCGGCTGACACCCAGCACTGCTGTTTTAGCACCCAAGCCAGAGCCTGGAGCACAGGTACTTGGAAAATGTTTCGAGAGAGAAAAAGAGAGAGTGAGAGAAGGAAGGGAGAGAAGGGAGGAAAAATGAAAGAAAGGTGGAAAGGAAGAAAAGGTGAAAGAAGAGAAAGATAGATAGATAAAGACAGAAAAGAAATAAAGGTGGAAAGAAAGGAAGGAAGGAAGGGTGAAAGAAAGGTAGAAAGAAAGGAAGGGTGAAAGAAAAGAAAGATGGATTGATAGAGAAAGAAAGAAAAGGTGGAAATAAAGAAGAGTGAAAGGAAAGACAAAGAAAGGAAAGGTAGAAAAAGTGAAAGAAATAAACTGTCATCACAGCTACAGCATCCCAGAGAATCACAAGCTCAGCCACTCCTTGACAACCACAGACACATACACACCAAACATCAGATTCTCACACAACCTGGAAGTCCTAGAGAGCAGAGCAAACCCTCAGGCACAGACACTGCATTACAACCACATATGACACAGTCACACACAAGTCATCATCACAGCCCCAGTCACCCACACTGGGCCGTACAGTCACACCACGTATGACACACGGGATGCGATGCTTCTCATGTCAGACTTTCGCATGCTGCATCACGGCCACACCCATCACATACACTCACAGCCTCACAATCACAAACACACAAACACACATAGCCAGTTCTTCCCAGCCACCTCACATCCTGGGGTGAGGACCAGACTTAGTCTGTAGCCCTTGGACCACTGGCCTTGGAAATAAATACTGAACAATGCAGCTGGTCTGTCTAGTTCTTAGCGGGCAGGTAGCTCATGGAAGCCCAGGGACAGATGGAATGACCCACAGAGGTAACTTTTACAGCTGAGAACTCTGAACCCAGCTGACCCAACTCTATGCAGGAAGTTTATCAGAGAAGCCAGAGAGCTGGGGCCCAGGTGTGCCTTAGCCTCAGACCCACAGTTCCTGAGAAAACAGAGGCTACATACTTCAGTACCCTTCTTGCCAACATTCAGCACAGCCAGCTGGGAGCTTGGGGTATCAGGGCATCCAAGAGTGTGGGGAGGGACAGGTAATGATATGCTTACAGACCTGATGCTTTATGCAAATGAGCATGGGCCCAGAAAGCAAGGTTTCCCTGGACCCTAGTATCACAGCTCAGACCCCAGAGAAGAATGAATCACTTGTTATTGACACAGTTGCCTGGTAAAGGGGTGAAGGGAACTGGCTTTGCCATCTGATGGTCTTGGGTTCCAAGTCTACTCTGTCATTTCCTGGCCATGTGACACAGGAGCAAACCCCGTCACTTCTCCATGCCGTTTCCTCATCTGAAATACTAGGTAACAAGGATTCTCACCTCCCAGGTTTATTGTAAAGATGAAATCAAATGAGGAGGGACTTCCCTGGTGGTCCAGTGGCTAAGACTCCACAACTCCCTGCTCAGGGAACTAGATCCCACATACCGCAACTGAGAGTTTGAATGCTGAAACTAAAGATCCCTCGTGCCACAACTAAGACCCAGTGCAGCCAAATAAATAAATTTTTTTTTTTAAAAAAAGAGACGCAATGAATTTTAAAATCAGATGAGGAAAAAAGCCACTTGGTATAGTGCCTGGTATGCAGGAAGAGATACATAAGTACATGAGTGTCATTAAGAGATATTAAGGAAAGCATCTGTCAGGCATGTGCCCTGCATATTGTGCAAGTCACATCTTTTTAATTTATTTTTTAAATGAAGGATAATTGCTTTACAGAACTTTGTTTTCTGTCAAACATCAACATGAATCAGCCATAGGTGGCGAGTCACATCTTTATCTGCATCTCTGGGGAGGAGTTGTTGTTGCCCCCACTTTCCAGATGCAGCGACCAAGGCTCAGGAGCCTCCCCCACCCCACTCTGCCCACACCAAGGGCACCCAGCTTCATGCCTCCCTGGCTGGGCTGGTGGGAGGTGAAACAGCCCCAAGGGCCCAGCCTCCACCCATGCTGGAGTTTCCTTTACTCTCTTCGTGGTCTTTCTGTTTCCGTGGCTTTGATGAGAAGACCGGGGTGTGTTTGTGTGTGTCTGGGGGGAGCTCATCAAAGTCACCAGCAGCCACCAACATCTGCCTGGGGATAGAACCTCTACGGAATTGAGCCTCCTAAGATCACCTTTGGGAGGGGCTTTGATTTCAGATAAAGTGTGGGAGCAGGAAGCCCCCAGTTCAGGCCAGTGACCTATTTACAACTTCTTAGAAGTCTATCTACTTGATTTCCGCTAACACCACCGGTATCTTTTCAGATTTCACTTCTCCCCGCCCCATCATTTCTCTTGCAATACCCAAAGTCTCCTGTCATCACTTGATACCACCCCCCCACCCCCAGCTCTGAAACAGAAAACTCTTCTCCTTCTCCCAATCTCTTGCCAGGATCCAGAGGTAATAGAAGGAAAAACCATAGCGATTAAATTGTTTCCTACTTTCCTGTGATGACACTATGCCCCTCCCTGCTGCGTTATTATGGCATACAAACACTGAGATGCATCGTCTCCAAGAAATGGGAAGAACCTGCATGCCATGTGGCCCAAACAAACAAACAAAAATAAAGTATCAAAACTTAAAACAAATTTTTTTCCAATTCTTTTCAGTTATTACATAAGGTGATCTGACATCTGTAGATGTAAGATCACGTCTAATCACTGAGTGTGTTTTTCAAACAGCAATTAGTAGCCATTGTTTAAAGGTTACGAAACTTTGCACATGGACAAATCGAGATTTCTTGGCAAGTTGGGGGCTGTGATAACAACCCAGGTTGGGTAGCAGTTGTCCCCTGTGGAGAGGGCGTCAGCTCACCAGTCTCCACTCCTCTTCATGGTCTTCCACTTGAAGACTGGATGTCAGTTGCCTTTCATCATCATGTCTGCATGACTGTTTTTCTTAAAATAATAATGATCTTTAATTATAGGTCATACTAATGCATGCACCGCATGCCAGGCACTATGCTAAGTGCATTGCTGTTGTTCACTCGCTAAGTCGTTCATGTGTGACTTTTTGTGACCCTGTGGGTTGCAGTACGCCAGGCTTCCCTGTCCTTCACTATCTCCTGGAGTTCGCTCAGACTCATGTCCATTGAGCCGATGATGCTATCCAACCATCTTCATCCTCTGTTGACCCCTTCTCCTTTTGCCTTCAGTCTTTCCCAGCATCAGGGTCTCACCCAGTGAGTCAGTTCACCACAATTCGAAAGCATCAGTTATTTGGTGCTCAGCCTTCTTTAATTCACAGTAACTCACTGAATTCTCACAATGACCCTATTGGGGCTAGGGGTATACTGTTATAGTACCCATTTGATAGATGGGGAAATTGAGGCACAGAGAGGTTAAGTCATTTCTCCATCAAAGGTGGGAACGTATATGACAGTCTGAGATGACCATGAATTTCAGGAAAATTGAGAGTTCTTAGTTGTATTAGTTTCCTGTTGCTGCTTAAGGCACTACTAAATTGGTTATCTTACAGTTTCGGAAGTCAGAAGTCAGAAATGAGTCTTAGGGGACAAAAATCAAAGCTGAGTCCCTTCGCTGTTCACTTGAAACGACCACAACATTGTTAATCGGCTACACCCCAACACAAAATTAAAAGTTCAAAAAAATAAGGAATTAGAAGTATTTTTTAAAAAAAGAAGGAGGGATCTTGTCTGATTCTTTTTTTTTATTTTTAATTGAAGGATAATTGCTTTTCAGTATTGTGTTGGTTTCTACCAAACATCAATATGAATCAGCCATAGATTTACCTATGTCCCTCCCATAGTCTGATTCTTAAGCCACACATGCACATGGTGCCCAGCTTCTTCTTCTGATCCACCCACCCCCTCTTTGTGTTCCTATAGTCTCTCTAGAGTGGTGCATTCTCTGCTAGTCCTGAGCCTTGCTCAGGAGGCCGGTATTTAGGCCGGGTTTAGGTACAGGAAACTCTTTGAGGCGCTCTGTGGCTTCAGCTGCCCAGAGACACCATTGAGTCATTTCCTCTTTGGGGACCTGCAGTCTCTCTGCAACGGGGAACAGGACTGCAGCCTCTTCTAGGTTTCAGTCCCCTTCCCCCAGAATTTCTCGGGGGGAGAGGGACTTTCCCCTTTCCAGGGTGGTTTTCTCCAAAAAGCAGAGCATAGAAACTGCCCACCCTGTAATGTATGCTGAATTGTGTTCCCCCAGAATTCATTTGTTGAAGTTCAAACCCCAGGATCTGCCAATGTAACTATATTTGGAGATGGCACCTTAAGGGAGAAAATTAAGGTGATTCGTGTGGGCCTTAATCCAATGTGACTGGTGTCCTTATAAGAAGATCTTTTTTGATCCACCTCCTGAAGTAAGGAAAATAAAAACAAAAATAAACAAATGGGACTTGATTAAACTTAAAAACTTTTGCATAGCAAAGGAAACCATAACCAAGATGGAAAGACAACCCTCAGAATGGGAGAAAATATTTGCAAATGAAGCAACTGACAAGGGATTAATCTCCAAAATATACAAACAGTTCATGCAACTCAATATCAAGCACACAAACAACTCTATTAAAAAAAATGGGCAGAAAATATAAATAGACACTTCTCCCAAGAAGACAGATGGCCAAGAGGCACATGAAAAGATGTTCAACATCACTAATTATTGGTGGTGGTGTTCAGTCACTAAGTCATGTTCGACATGTTGTGACCGTGTGGGCTGTAGCCCACCAGGCTCCTCTGTCTATGGGATTTCCCAGGCAAGAATGGGAGTGAGTGCTATTTCCTTCTCCAAGGGATCTTTCTGGATCAGGGATTGGACCCATGTCTCCTGCATTGGCAGGTGGATTCTTTACCACTGAGCCACCAGAGAAGGCCATCCATCAACAGAAGAATGGATAAAGAAGGTGTGGCACATATATATAATGGAATATTACACAGCCATAAAAAGGAACCAAACAGTGCCATTTGCAGAGGCGTGAATGAGCCTAGAGACTGTTGTACAGAGTGAAGTAAGTCTGAAAGACAAAAACAAATATACACAAACACATATATGTGGAATCTAGAAAAATGGTACATATGAACCTAGTAGCAAGGCAGAAATAGAGACACAGTCATAGAGAACAAATACATGGATGCCAAG